TCACCCACGGTTGAGAAAGATTTGCCTGGGCGAAAGCTCGCCTTCCACCATCACCCCGGCTTGGTTCAGGCGGTCGACATACCCTTGGCACTCCGAAGCAAGTCTGCGGAATACTTTCGGGGCATCTTGTGTGACCTCAGAGCACACGGTTCGGATCCAGTTGGCATGCATGGGGCACATTTTTTGTGCCAGTTTGTGGTAGCCATGCCACTTTGCGTCAGGTTTGGCCTGACGCCGCCAAGACAGCAGGTCGAAGTAGCGGAGTGCCGGGTACGGCTCCGCCGTAGAGGAGGTCTCCATACCCATATTGGACTCTCCCAGGTCCAAAAGGTGGAGATTTTGAGTCCAAAGCCACGTGAGCACACACCCGACGTGGCAGAGGAACTTGAAGGAGAACGTGGCCCCCCTTTGCTCCATAACATCTGCTGCTTTGACCACGGGTGTTTGGCAGAGAAGCGTCATCGGCAGGCGTTGCTCTCCTCCTTTGTCATCATGAAGAACGACTTCAACATCCTCCACCCAGAAAACTGGCGCAGCTATGCCTGGCAGGAGGCTGGCGTAGGTGAGCTCCTGCTGCTGGGGTTGCTCCGACAGCTTGAGCACCAGGTCTTGGGAGGTGAACGCAACTCGATCCTGTCCCTTACCCAAAAACTCGAGGAGAGTTCCTGAGGGACTACCCTGGTGCCATTCAAAACCCAAAGTCCTGGGAAGTGCCAAGAGGTTATTACGTGCAAATCCTTGTATTACACGTCGGCCATGAAGGGTGGGAAGCCCTCCCCCTTCGTGGGCTCGGGGCCGTAAAGAGTCCACAATCTGCCCTTGCTCTGTTTGCGGCGCTTCAGAGCGTTGTTTGACTCTTCTTGCCCACGGCGTGTTGGCCTCGTCCTCTTCCAGTACTGCCTTGTCATGCGGTGTGAGGCTGGGCGCCTTTGCCTTCGCGAAAATAGCTTGGAGCCTTTCCTTGGAGCTCAGGGGGAGAGACTCTCCCCTGGCTCCGGAACNNAACCTCCTCAGACTGCACTTGGATAGGCCCACCCGGTTTGGGCCGTGTGGGGAGGAACTCAGCTTGGGCCGAACTGGCGGGAGTCGCTTCTGCTGCATCCTCAGCTTGGGGTGGGCGCTGGCTCGCCTGTGCACGGCTGCTACGGGGAGGAGCCTCACCCTGGTTGCCTCGGCCTCCCGGCCCCTCCCTGAGGCTGACACCCCCAGCCTGTGCAGACTGGGTTGGGGGGAGAAACTCACCCCCAATTTGGCTGGCTCCTGGACCCTCCGTGAGAAGCACTGGCTGCCTCGGCGGCGCCTTCGGGGGCGCCGGTGGCAAGACTGTTGGGTTACCCAGGCTGGCTGCAGGAACCGCCCTTGGCAAGCTTTCGTGGTACGCCTGCGAACGCGCTTTAGACCGGCTGACTGAGGCCACAGATTTCGTAGACTTGCCGTGGGAAGCCCTAACGGCATTCACCTCCCTGGCATGCTGTTGCTCATCCGCCGGTCTCTTGCTTTTGGTACCTTTTTTGCCTTTGCCTTTGCCTGCGCCGCCTGCTCCCATAGCTGGACTAATTTTGTTTGCGAAAGAACTGCAGGACACTGGGAGTGCTCAGAGTGTCCTTGGTTCTCTTAGCTTTGGGCTTAGACTTAGCGGCCGGGGCGGCAGTACTAGGAGGCTTCGCCTGGCTTACGGTACTGGCGCCCTCTTTTGGCTGAGAAACTCGAGCCGAAGGCTGCGGCGTACCTGGCAGAGGTGAGCTTGCTTGGGCAGGGGAGTGGGCAGGAAAGAGGGAGAGTGAGGGCTTGACCGGTCGGGCCTCATGGAGAACCTCTTTGACATGAGACTTCCCGGTACACCTGCTAGAGGGGTCGGGAGAGGGGAGGCCAGACCCATCACCTAAAACCTCGGCGTCTCCTAGTGAACCTCTTGGGGCAGACTGTGCTGGGCTATTCTGAGCTCGGGGCTCCAAGCTCTCACAGTCGGGGCGGGTGGGAAGCCTACCCGCAAAGAGCAGAGAAAAGCCCTGGGCAGGTGTTTTGGTAACAGGCTCCTCGTTTCTTTTCCTTTGGCAGGCACTGCCACGGTTTGTACAGACTTTTGCGAGCCTACCTCTGGCGGAAGCCCTCACAGAGTAACTTGCTTTACACTTGGAGCATTGCCACATGCGCCCTTGGTTGACAATGCAATGAGAGGGATGTATGCCAGAATCAGCTGCGGGTGTAGCCTCTCTGCCACGGCAGGGATGCTGGAGGACAAATTTGATGGTGTCCCCTGGGTCGGTTTGTTGCGCGTACAGACCGCACTCCTGGCATTTGATGATGAGGTTCTTAGCCGTGGAGGTGAGTACCCAATGGTGTCCTCTCTCAGGATCGCGCTGCTGAGTGGCGGCATGGAGGGCGTGCCTCTTGTTAAAGTCCAACTTTTTGGTCTGCCTGCTTTTCACCGGGATAGCCTCAAACTTGACTTCCTTTCGTGTGGGAACGGGATCGTGCTGCAGGATGTGGCTGCATCTTTTGCCGAGCCAAGTGCCGCGGCCCCTTGCAGCACGGTCAATGGCCTCTGTTCTCGCGGCTTGCTCATGTGAAAAAACCTCTTCGCTGCGAAGCCCGCTAAGCTTGTCGGCCTCTTCATTAGCAAACCATGCCCACACTGCCTGTTGCCCAAACCTGTTGGCGTGGTCCTGGCGGGACATGTGGCCCTTTGTCCAGGTGAGCTGGAGCTTATCTCGTTCCTCAGCACTGGTGGTCCAAATGCTCGGTTTGGGCTGCTTGCCTTTGGAGGCTCTGCACCACCTAATGGCAACCTTGCTGTCGACCGCTACGCTGACCTGAGCCGGGGCCCTGGCTGCGAGCTGGTCAAGGGCAGTCGCTTCTCCTTCATTGACGGTCGCTCCTACCTGGAGGGAACCGGACATAGTGCCCACTACATCGTAGAGCGGGCCGGCATCGTGGTTGTGTTTGAGGCGGATAGCCACCACAGCCCAGGAGACCACTCTGAGCCTAGGGTCCTCGCCCCTGGGGCCTCCTGACGCGTCTGTGCCGAAGAAAAGGTCATGCGCAGGGAGTAGCTCACCTGCAAAAACTCCCGAGCACCTAATTTGAAGCTGTTCAGGGGTGAGAGGGGGATGAGCGGTGGCCTCCCTCGGAACGAGCCCCCTGACCACAAAACAGGGCGGGGGTTTCGGGTAGTCGATATCCCAAGAAGGGTCGGGGCCAATGTCGTGCTCGGCCCAGCGAACACAATCTATAAGGACATGCCGCAATGTGTTCGGCAAACCACACTTGAGGCATTGCATGTCACCGCCGTGGTTCGCCCGCCTAACAGCCCCTTGCCAGAGCATACGAAGGCCGGACGCGACAAGCGGCTTTTTAGCTGAGTTCTTCAGCATTCTCCTGGCAATGGTCCAGTCGATGCCTTTTTCCACGCCCTTGGCTTCTTCTTGGTTTGATATGCGTTCCCACCTGTCATCCAAGAGGGCCTCTCGCAGTTGCTGGGAAACGCGGAGCCCCGCGCTGGGATCTCCCCATTCCAGGGAGATAACTCGACCTGGTCTTTCCCAAACATCCATTGAACTGGCATCAAAGCCCATGTCAAGCAAGTAACACTGCATGGACGCGATTGGCCCCGCAGCAGCACACCACCGCTGCTTGCTGCGAACCAATTTGCTCCACGAAACTGCCCACGTGCGCCTAACGAAGCTTGCACCGGGAAGATTGCGTTCTACGCATTCCCTCAGCATGGACCAGTGTTCCAGTATGAGTTTGAGGAGCGGGTCTCCAGCTCCGACTTCGGCCATATCGAACAACAGATCCAAGGAGCCGAACGGGACTTTGGCGTAGTGGCCCCCGGCGATGGCTCTAAGTACCTTCATTCTTTTAGGGGCGAAGCCCTGACATTGGTGTCCGAACGTTGCCGCAGTAAGGACCCCTGTCGAGGCAACTTGTGCTCTTTTTTGCTTATTGGAAAGCTTGAGCTTTGTCAATTTGCCGCTTCGACCTTGTGCCTTAGCGAGGCGAGCGTTGCTGCAAGCAACGCGGCGTCTGCGCGCCGCCGCGGAATCGACTCCTAAGTCTCTGACCAAGCTCAGTATGGGAGGATCGCCCGGTCTGAGCATGGCACGAAGCCTCTTTTCGGCATCTTTGTCGCTGCACACGAACGCAGATTTGGCTTTCGAGAGCACAAGTGCTTCGCTACCCAAGCATTCGGCCATGAGCTTGTAAGCCCGGACGCTACGGCTGGCAGCTTGGTCCGCATCGGTAGCAGCTATGTCTAGACTTATATCGTCCAGCCACGTGTCTAGGTTGGTAACCAAACCCGAGGCACTGAGCTTCGCACACGAGTCGTGGATCGCCAGCTTGGAAAGACTTGGTGCTACAGGGCACCCCGCCACCACCCCCTTCGGGGAGTATGTGGCGGGTGACTGGCAGGAGTCAGCAGTGATCACCCGTGCACCTTTATATACCTGGATGGCGATGTTGAGGAGGGTCGCCGGGTATTCCAACTCAATAGCCGACCTCGCCAGTCTCTGATGAGAGATGGTTTCGAAGAAAGTAGTGAGATCTAGGAAACACGTGATTCGACTCTGCCCTGTGGCTCTTGCGAGCTCAGACTGGAACACGCGGTGCACAGCCACACTCAGACAGGTGCTGTCTGGTTTCGCGGCATCCCACGGGGCCATCTTCTCGTATTTGCGAAGCCACGCTGACACCAGGGAGTATCTCACCTGGAGCCAGGCTTTGTAAACCACGTTACATAGTCCTATTGGTCTTTCGATTTCGGCCTTCTTTGGAAGCATAGCGAATTGAACCACTCGCCACTGGCCTGGGGACTGGCCAGACTGCTCCATGTCATTGAGCAAATTCACCAGTGGCTGGAGCCCGGCAGGCGGGAGCTGCTTGAGCATCCTGTTGTTCCACCCATCTGGACCAGGTGCTTTCTCAGGGAGGCATTGCAGCTTGGTACGGAGTGCCCCAACGGTAAGGGGGGGTAGATCGCGTGCTTCGGCAATTGCTTTGTCAAACAGTTCCTGAAGAGGGTCCTCAACGGGGACGCTTTGACTTTGCCAGATTTCCTCCCACTGGCTAAGTCTGAGGTAGGGCCGAAGAGCCGGCTCCTTATCTTGGAAAGGCCTAACCAACACTTGCTCGTGAGACCTGATTGCTTTGTACAAGGGTCTCATGCCTTTAACGGTGGCGCCTTCAAGCCAACTCTGGTACCTTTCCTTTTCCCCCTCCAGGTGATCACTCTGAGCTTTGGCGACAAGTTTCCGGTAGGACTCTTCCTTCGTGGCAGACAACCGGCCTTTGTCCGTAAAATGGGCGAGAAGCTCAGCCCTAAGCCCTTCCTGCGTGGTGGCCAGGTCTCCCCCGAACTCCAACTGGTCTAAAACCTTTTTGCAGGCTTGCGGGCTGACCCTGACCCCGGCTTTGGCAACCGCGTTGAGCCAAGATTCAACCCGCAGCCAAAGGCCTGCTTGAGTGGAGTACGTTCTTAAAGGCTGTCCAGGCTGCCTTGCCCTTTTGCAGAACCCAAGGGAACATCCTCGCAGGGTCTTCTCGGTAGGGTACATGGCGGCTTGACACCACTGGGAGAAAGCCCCGAAGCGGGAGGACATGGGGTCCCGAGAAAAATCCTGGCCAAGAACCTCGATCTGAGGCGGTGCCGGCATGTCCTTTTGGAGTTGACAGTCCCGGGCGGCATCACAGACCGGGAAATTAGGAAGTTGAAGAACCTTGTCCAACTGCCCCGGCATGTTGAGCTCGATGCACAGGCTGGCGTGAGGCCTGTGCGGGGCGCTCCAATCCGAGGTGACCGACACCATGCCTGCAATGGCATTGCTTGCAATCACGAAGTCGATTTCCGTGCCGCAGTGGGTCGTGGGGCTTCCGGTGGTGATAACCTGACCTCCTAGCACGCAGACAAGCGTGGTGTCTGTGAGCTCGCGGGGGCTCACGTTGAAATCACCCGCAACCAGCCATTGACCTGGGTAGCTCTTCAGGAGAGCGGTGAGCCTTGCGAGAATCTCAGCATTGGGCTCATAGTGAATGGGGGTGGAGTTCCTGAGGTAAAGGCTAAGGAGGAGGAGGCTCACCCCTTTGATACGGATCTCGGCTGCACAGAAACCGCACCCTTCTTTTACGAAGAGTTGGGCTGGCTTGGTTTGGAGGTGTGTCCTGGCTAGCACGGCAACTCCGCCTTTCGTGCCATGTTTGCCCGTGGACATTGCTTCCCCACCTACCATGAGATAGCCTGCCTTGTGCATCGTGGCCACCGCTGCTTGCAGGGAGGGCCTATTGAGGTGTGTTTCCTGAACCAGGA